ATCACAAAAACTGATTGACATACACCACAAAGACAATCTTCAAAAAGAAGAAACCCCATAGACCACATATTTTTTAACACAATATAATAGAGCTACATATTAGCAACAATAACAAAACTTTCCATTTGGAAATTTTTACAAATTTATGCCAAATTATTTTTGGGTTAAAGAGAAAATAAAAAATAATGACAATAAGAGCACTATTTACCGAAACCTATGGAATATGGCCAAAGCCATAATCAGAGGAAAATGTGTAGCATTTATTAGAAAATAACACTGAAAACAAATAAATTAATAGGCATTCAAATTATGAGAAGTTACAAAAAAGTTAGAAAAGGTACCAAAACTATTAAAAGTTTAAAAGAAGTTAGAAAAAAGGAAAAATTTAGTCTATGGCCATACCACCCTGAACGCACCTGATCTCGGAAGCTAAGCAGGGTCGGGCCTGGTTAGTACTTGGATGGGAGAAAAAAGGAAAAATTTAAAGAAATGGAATAAAGAAAACAAGTGAAAAACAAAAATAAATCAATAAAACTAAAAAATGGTTCTTTGAAAGCACCAAACCACTCACGAGTCTGATTAGAGAAAAGACAACATACACATTTATAAATGAGAAAAGAGATGTGACTACAGATACAGAGATTTTAAAGATATACAGAGAATTGTCTTATAATTTTTATTAAAAAATGTAAAAATCTAAATGAAATGGGTGATTTTTCAAGGAAAACATAAATTACCAAATGATTCAACAGAAAGTAGAAAAATCTAAATAAATCCATAACTATGAGATATTGAAAAGTTAGGCAAAGATCATCTTCCTAAATTATACCAATCTCAGACAATTATGGGAAATTTCTACTAAATATTCAAGAAATTATGTTATTTAAGCATAATAAAGGATGGAAAGCTTCCCATAACCTCAGAACACAGCCCTGATTATGTTCCCAGGAATAACAGAATCCTGATACTCAAATCAGATTAGAATAAGACCCCACTACCCCAAATAAAGTCAATATAGGAAAAATCACTAGTGACTATAGATAATATAAATAAATGTTAGCAAAATGAATTCGGCAAAGTATGAAAAGAACACTGTAATGCAACAAACTGGGGTTTAACTACAAATAAAAAGATGGCTTATATTTCAGAACCTAATAATATAATTCACACAATTAATGGATAAAAGAAAAGAAATAGTAAGTTAATTTCTATGTCTGAAATGAATATGAACATCCATTTTTGGTTAAAAAGAGAGAAAAAAAACTAATCAGCAAACTAGAAATTTTTAAAAACTTCCTTAATCTGATAAGGCAAATACTAGAAACCTATAGCAAACATCACAATTAATGACAGAAAGGTAAATATATTAATGAAACAGAATAGAGTCTTGAACAAGAGTTGACAAACATATTCTGTAAAAAGCTAGACAGTAAATATTTTAGGCTATGGAAGCTATAAGGTCTGTCACAACTACTCAACTTTGCTCTTTTCTTTTTTTTTTTAAGATTTTATTTATTTATTTATTTGAGAGAGAAAGAGAGCATGAGAGAGCACAAGTGGTGGAGAGGGAGAAGCAGGCTGCCCATGGAGCAGGTAGCCCAACGTGGGCCTTGATCCCAGGACCCTAGGATCATGACCTAAGCCAAAGGCAGCCACTTAACTGACTGAGCCACCCAGGCACCCCTCAACTTTGCTCTTTTAATATGAAAGCAGCCAGAGACAACATGTAAATGAATGGGCATGGCTGTGTTTCAATAAAACTTTATTAATAAAGACAGGTAGCTAGCAGGCCAAATTTGTCCCACAGAGTGTAGTTCATAACCCCTGGTCCTGAAAGCCTAGAAAAAGACTCATTTATATGAGGCTTAAGATATGATAGAGATGGGACTTAAAATCAGTGAGGAAAAAAATGGCTTGTTTAATAAATGATGGTGGAGAACTGGAAATCCATTATAAAGAAAAAGTAAAAATCCTCATACTAGTCACAAAAATATATTCTAAATCTATTAATATTTTAAACATATAATATTTTAAACATAAAGCTGTGAATGTACTAGATAGTTGTGGGGTAGAAGAATCTTCCTAAGTAGAAAGCAATAAAAGAAAAATATTGTCAAACCTGATAAAACAAAAATGAAAACCCTTTTAAAAAAGACAAATAGAAGACTTGGAAAAATATGAATTATGGTGATGGATACACAACACAGTAAATTGACTAAAGTCATTGAATTGTATGTATAAAAAGGATGAATTTTATGGTATATAATTTATAGTTTAATTATTTAAAAAGGAAAAATGAAAGGATATGAACAATTTCAGAAAAGGAATTGCAAATGTCCACTATGCATAGTTAATCAAGCTCATTGCCAGTTTTTTAAAAAGATTTTATTTATTTATTTATTTATATTAGATAGAGAACACGAGTGCACACGCACACGGGTGGGGAGGAGTAGAGCGGGTAGGAGAGGATAAGCAGACTGCGCTGAGCCTGCAGTCCAACATGGGGCTGGATCTCATGACCCTGAGATTATGACCTGAGCCAAAATCAAGAGTCGGACACAACTACCTGAGCCACCCATGTGCCCCAGTCATTACCAGTTTTTTTTTTAACATTTTATTTATTTATTTGACAGAAAGAATGAGAGAGCACAAACAGGGGGAGCAGTAGAAGAAGAGGGAGAAGTAGGCTCCCCGCCAAGCAGGGAGCCCGATGCGGGGCTTGATTCCAGGACCCTGGGATCATGACCTGAGCCAAAGGCAGACGCTTAACCATATGCGCCACCCAGACACCACTCAGTACCAGTTTTTAAAAAAATCAAAATAAATTCATGAAATGCATTTCACCTATTAGTTTGGCAAAAACTAAGAAGAGTGAGACAATTCAATATTGTTAAGGGTGTAGACTGTAACCGTACACTGTTATTAGGAATATAAAATGGTTGTCTCTTTGGAGGTTGATTCAGGAATATCTAACAAACTTGAATGTAAATACCCTTGACCTCCCTCCCACCGATTCCATGTACAAGTATGAATCTACAAAAATTGGGGCGCCTGGGTTGCTCAGTCATTAAGCATGTGTCTTTTGATTTCGGCTCAGGTCATGATCTCAGGATCATGAGATCAAGCCCTGTGACCAGCTCCATGCTATGCATGGAGCCTGTTGATGATTCTCTCTCCCTCTCCCTCTGCCCAACCCCCCCAACCCTCACTCACTCTTTCTCTCTCTAAAAAAACAAAAACAACAGAAACAAAATCGTTATACATGTGTAAAGACCGTAATAGCAAAAAAGTGGAAATATTTAAATGTCTACCAGTAGGGGAATGATTAAGTAATTTGCATAATTCAGACTACCTTTCAGCCATTAAAAAAAAAATAAGGTCAATTTTTATCTACTGCCCTAAAAGATCTCAAAGACATACTGTTAAAGGAAAAACAAACAACAAAAACAAACAGGTAAACACCCAAAGTTGCAAAGCAAAAAGAAAGATCCCAATTCCATAAAAGAGAATACATGTCTGTGTAGGATCAGATCAACCTTCTCCACCTCCCCTCTCCTGCTAGGCAGAACACTCAGTCCTCGATTGCTGACCAAAATGAAATGTGAACAGAAATGAATCTGCTAGTTTTAACCAGAGGCTTTCAAAAGCACTGCATCCATCTATTTGCTCCCTCAAGCAGCATAAACTTGAGAACCTTCCCCATTATACACAATAACCTAAAAAAAAGCCGACTAATATATGTTACATGAAAAAGGTTCTAAAAGATACATATCAAATTGAATTATGTGTTTGCCTGTGTTGGAGGACAGTGATGCCGTAAGAAAGAACTTCACATACTTTCTAATTTCTTGCACTTTTACAAGTCTGTATCTAGAAAAATCTGTTTAATGTAAAAATGAAAAAGACATGTGCCAGAAGTAAAAGTATCTGGATTAGTATGGTGGGATAAATTTTTTTCCTTTTCTCCAGTTTCCAAGTTTACCATGATGTTTTAGTATGTGTCATTTTTTTTTTTTAGTTTTTTTTTTTAAGATTTTATTTATTCATTTGAGACACAGAGATACAGAGAGAGAGAGAAAGCATGAGCAGGGAGAGAGGCAGAAGCAGGCTCCTCGCCGAGCCAGGAGCCCAATGTGGGGCTCGATCCCAGGACCCTGGGATCATGACCTGAGCTGAAGGCAGACGCTTAACCGTCTGAGCCACCCAGGCGCCCCTAGTATGTGTCATTTTTTAAAGCTTGGAAAAGACAAAAAAGCTAAGACTCTAACATCAATGTAATGTAGGTACTATATTGATGGCAACCTGCAAGTACTTTGAAAATGATGCCAACGATCTTATTTAGCCATCAGAATGACACTGAAACGTAGATATTTAATCACTTCCATTTCACAGTCAAGGAAAACAGGATTAGATTACTTCCACTAAAGGACACACATGGTAAACAGTGAATCAGAAAACTGTCTTTTGGACTCTAAATCTCCAAATCCTGAGTGCTATAATGACAATGTGATCAAAACACTATGCAAAAAAAATGAGGTAGTGATTAGTTCTGTTTGGAAAAAGGAGACAGTTGGTTCAAAAAGTATTTTGCTTTTGAACCACTGTAACAGCTTCCTGTATGAAAAGTGGATACTTCATTTTATAGTGAGATTTTTGTCACCAAATTCTCAGAGGCATCTAATTTGAAAACAACCATTTGTTACTTTTTGTTATCATTTATGACAAGTGAAATACATTATGGCCCAATATATACAAATAGGTTGCTATAAGGAGTTATATTAATAGCATTTAATAAGATGATTTCTGATTAGAAAAGGCATAATTTTGAAAACATATATTCCAGGGACTAAGGAAAATACAATTGCACACAAATTTGTTCATTGTTAGGTAAATGTAAAAGGCTAAGTTTCATTCCTTTTAATAACTGAAAATGGTAGAAATTAAATGTTCTTAATCTAAGTCATAAAATAAACATTTGGTCCAAAAAAGAATCAGCATACCTGGGAACATTATTGTTTGAATCTTCACTTTCATTTGCCAGACCACCAAACAAATAGCATTTGTTACCATATAAAGAGAAGCTATGTCCAAGCCGAGGGCAAGGAGGTAAACCAGAAGAAGGAGGGTGGGGTTTCACTTTTTTCCATAACCAACGACTTGCCTAAAAAAGAGCATAAATACAATCAGACAATATCAAGAAAGCATTCCTATATTGTCCATAGTATAACATCATACCAATATATTTTAATCAAAATCCAATCAGAAGGCTCCAATAAGCTATTCCAGGGACAAATGACAAGTAAACAGGTAATTTCTGGAACTAAAATAAACATTGTGGGCGCCTGGGTGGCTCAGTTGGTTAAGCGACTGCCTTCCGCTCAGGTCATGATCCTGGAGTCCTGGGATCGAGTCCCACATCGGGC